CGGCGGCAGCTCTCCCTGTGCCTGCCCCCTCCCAAGAGACAGCTCATTCAGCCCGTCACCCTCTTAGCCCCTGCCCCAAACCCACAGGATGCCCAGGCCAGCTGGGACCAGGAAGGGGGATGTTGGCTGACCTGTTCTGGGGAGAAGGGAGCCCCCTGACCACCACGGGCCTCCGCCATCCTGGGACGAGCAGTGGGGAGCTCGGGCGGCTCAGTCCGAGACTCATTCACACCTCTGCCAGCTCAGCCCTCCCGCCTCCCTGGTACTCCCTCTGCCGTGCTTGGCCAACGTCAGAATTACTTTCACCTCATCTCCTCCCGAGCTCTGCCTTCTCCAGCACCCCCCCCAACCCTCCCCCCTCCAGTCCCCATGCAGCCCGGACGATTCAGAGCAGCCTCTGATGTACTTCCCTTGTTTCCCAGCAAGTTCTTGGAACAAAAAACACACACATACTCACACCCGCAGAGGCTCTGCCATCCTCCCAAGACCCCAGCCCAACAGGGAGCAGCAAGCTCTGGGAATGAATGGGGCCAGAGAGGCCCCTCCAGTCCTGCAGGAGGGACCCAAAATGTGGCCAGAAGGATGGGCCACAGCCTCTACGGATAAGGGGCTGGTGCCAACACACCATCGCCATTGCCACCATCCCACCCAGGGTCCTAGATTGAGGGCTGAGAGGGCCCTTGAAGGCCATCTAATACAATCTCCTATTTTACAGACACGGAAACTGAGTCTCCAAGACCTACAGTAGCCTCAAGGCCCAAAGCCGCAGTCTACACAGCTAGGAAGGGGTAGAGCCAAGAGCCAAGGGGGCTGGCTCTCCTGATGCCAAGTCCTGTATTCTTTCCACTCTGTTTCCCTGTTCTCAGAGAGGACTCAGAATGCCATCATCAACCTATGGAAACTGATAGAAATCCTCACACCCTGCCCAGTGGTGAGACACAGCTACTTTTCAATTCTGGACAGAAACAAGATTAGCCAGAAACAAAAATTCTAGCTCCCCTCTGGTCCCGAGGAATCACCTAGGTGCTTGCCAGCTCCCAGGCACAGGCATAGGTCTGGGACAACAAAGATTGGCATACATTATCAATCAGGGTAGGAGGGAAGAAACCTGTCCTTCCAAGGTCCATAAAATCTTTCCCTCAAAAAAAAAAAAAAAGGAGACGGGCTCCCAAAGTCTTAAGGATGTGACACCAAGTCCAGGAGCACTTCCCCTGCTCGCAGGTGCCTCCCCTGAGGCCAGAGGGCCCAGGCACTGATGTGGGGCCAGGATGGGGAGGGGGAGAGTGCTCATTGACTCCCCAGCCCATTCCTGGGTCAGACTTGTTCCTGCTTCCGGCCCCTGGCGTGGTTACTGACTTCAGGAAGGGCCAGTCACCCACGGTCCAGGGTAGGCACTGGGCTCTGGCTGCCCTGGCCTGGGCGAGGTGCCCAGAACACACAGCCCTAGTCCAGGGACAGGAGGAGGCAGCAGCCCAGCTGGGCACTGGCCTTAATGAGGCCTCATTAGTGGGATCCAGCTGCTTCCAGGCCCACTTTCTTAAGCACTCTCCCCAGTTCCCTTCCTGTGCCATGCAGACCACTCTGACCCCTGGCCCTACCCTATCAGAGCTGCTACAGTGCCAGAAGGGTATGAAGCCCAGAGGCCCTAGAGGGTCAGGCCTGACCCAATGCAGGAGGTATCCAATGAACTGAACTGAGGTGCAAAAGCCAATGGGCATCATAGGGCTGGCCTGGGGTGACATGTGCTCATAGAAAATCCAGGCTGCCAAAGAGGCACAGGGAGGACCTGGCAGACAGACGGGAGATGACCAGAAAGAATGGAAAAGGTCCGGGCCTGGGTCTCAGGGGCCAGAAGGCCCATGGGATGGACGTTTCCCCTCTGAGCCTGCTTCCTCAGGGACACTGGGCTTCTTCATATCTGCAGTTCATTCACTGAGGCACTAGCCCCACCTCTCACTCAGGCTCACCGCCTGCTGGGCTGGGGTCCAGCTGGAACGGCCTGTGGCCACATTTCTGGGGCTATTTAAGTCCCTCGGCTTGGCCCACCTGCCCCTCCCCATGGGCCCTGGGCTCTGTCACACTTCCCTGGGTCCCTGGAGAGGGCGGCCAGAGTCAGTGGGTCGCCAGGGCTCTAGAGTGGAGGGAGAAGAGCAGCAAACAGGTATCTGGGACCAGGGAGGAGGCCTGGCTGTCTGGGCTATGGTCCTTCTGGGCCCAGGCTGAGCTGCATCCAGGTGCCCTAAGCTGAAGCAGAGCTGCTATGAAACCCCCTCACTGGCCTACCCCCAGAGGAAGGAAAGGGCATCCTCCTGGAGAAGGAAGGCCCCTGCTCAGCCCCCACCCCTCTAGTCCCCTGGTTTGGGTGGGATAGGTGGGTTTGGGGGTAGCCAGGAGTGGGCTTGAGAGGGGTGTTGGGCCAGGGGAGGGAGACGCTTTGCAGTCCAGAACACCAGGTTGGAAGCAGCCTGTTCCCTCCTCTGCCATGAGCCCCTAACTCCCAGAAGCCACTGCGGAGGGATTATCAACAGCTCATAGCACCTGGCTTGTCCCCTCAGAGCACACCTCACCTTTCCCGATTATGGACTGGACCCGGGGGGAGGGGCAGCCTTTTCTGTCTGGACAGTCCAGTTAATCCTTCAAGCTTCTTTCTGCCCCTGGAGACCTCCCTCCAGCTTCCAATGCCACAGACCCCCACCCAAGGGCTCCCTGGGAAAGGGCTTCACTGTGTTCTCAGTAGGCTCTCTTCCATTCTGATTCACTCTCACCCTCCGCATCTGCCCCCAAGTTGTCCAGCTGCTCCCCTTGCCTAGAGGCTCCATGGCCAGCTGGCCTCTCGGGAGCCCAAGTCCTGGAGCCACTGAGGCGTGAGTGAGGCATCCGAGCCAGCCTGGCAGAGCCCATCTGGGCTGGGAGGGATGGGGAGGGGGGCACGTGGGATTCAGGCACAGACACATGCTTGAGAGCTGCCCCCTCTCACCATCCCCCTGCCTCCACGGGAGAGGCCCAAAGATATGTAGCCCCTACTGGGAACTCGCTGGACCTATGGTGACCCTAAAGGCATCCAAGCCTGGGCAGCTGGGGGCCACCTAATGTTCTATCCCTCCTTGTGGCTGTTAGCATGTCTGTGCCCATCACGACAGAAGAATGACTTCTCTGTACATAAGCAGGGAAACCAAGGCTCAGAATGCTGGGTGCCAGATCAGAGTCAGAAGCACAATTAGCATCCATGGTCCTCCTTCCAGAGAATATATTGGAAAGAGCAGAGCAGATCTGGCTGCTCCTGGCCATGGCTAAGGGACCTACTATTGCTCCCCTCTTCCCACACCAAGAGGAGATTCAGCTGTTGGCCAGGCAGCCTGCATGGGAGCTCCCTCTCCCCCAGTCATCTGGCTTGGCTCCAGCTGCTGAGTGGAGACTAAAGCCTCACTTGGGGATTGGCTGGGAGATATCTCCAGTCCCGGATCCTGATTCTGAGGGGGCCCCAGAACCACTAGATGAATGCGGCGATGTGTAGCAGGGGAAAACTGGGAGACCATGTGGGGTGAGCTTTCATTGCCAGAGAAGGACAGGGCACAGCAAGCCAGAGACCTGGGGCAGAAGGGGCCTGCTGGCCTGGGCTCGGAGGCTGGCTGCCAAGTTCTGCACTGAGACTGCACAAACCCAAGAGGAAGGATAGCTCCACAGGTCCAAAACGGGAAGCCTGAGAACAGAGGTTTGCCCAGGATCCTCAGAGGGACGGAGGCCAAGACAGGATTAGAATTTCAGAGGCACCCAGCGGGACCTCCCATCCCTGGGATACAGGCTGGAAGCAGGGAGCCCAGCTGTGGGGAGGGCAGAGGGCAGAAGCCAGGCCCCATACTACTAACTTGGGCAGAGAGGGGAGCTCTGGGAATGGCACTGCGAGCAGGCGCAGACCAGCAAGGCTGTCCTGGCAGGAGCCAGTAGAGATCCCAATGACTGGGCCTGCTCCAGGGGTCCCTGGCTCAGGGCCATTCACATCAGGTTCATGTTCTTCCTACACAGGTGCCCAAAGTCACTCTTTCCCACACCTAACCGCTGGAGCCTCTTCCCACCGGGGTTCCCCAGTCTAAGCAGAGGCCCCTGGCTTGCTTCCCACGAGCCTCACTGTGTCTCCCTCTCCTCCACAGATTCAGATCAACTCCCAGACCATAGAGATTTTACGAACCATCACCATCAGGCAGCCCTGAGCCTCCCGGTACCCCAAGATCTCAGACTCACTCTGGAGCAGCCCTCATAAACTAAGGGCAGGAAGGGCCTGCCTATCACCAAGTAGCCACTCTTGCTTTTTGGGACAGCCTCAGGTCTGATCTTAATTAAGCCATATCCCCTCACCTTTAATTGGATGGGGAAAAAAAAAAAACCAGAAGAAACAAATACTAGAGGCGAAGGGGAGGGACAGTTTGCAGAGACCTCCATACCCTACCTGGGTTTGAAGCCCAGAACGGTCCAGAGAAAAACAGCGCCAGAGTCCATGGGATGGGGGTCTAGGCAGGGGTGGCTACAAGACTGGTCTCATCTGCCTGCTTCTGCTACACCCCTCAGTGGGTGCTGTCCCTTCACACCTGCTCCTCCTGTAACCCGCTTTCTTCTTGTCCCAAATCCACTCCCAGGTGCACACCAGGGCTCAGGGCAGTGAGAGATTAGGCAACTTGCCCTATGACAGACCCAAAGGAGGGGGACAAAATGACTTGTCCTACCACCCTATGCTCATTTTCTGACAGAGGAGACTGGAAGATGGAGAAAAGAGATAAAACTAAGAGCCAGGCACCAAAGATGCCTGGATCCTCAGAGGGGGGCCCCTCCCTGCCTAGGCCTTGAACAGCCCACTTTCAGACCTGCTCAGTAAGGGCTTGACTTCTCTGCTAGGCTTTGCTGCTGGCCGTGCAATCCCAGATCAAACAGCCCAAGAATTGGGGAGAAGACCCAGGAGCGGGCACGGCTGCCATCCTGCTCCTTGACCTGGATCCAATGGTACTCACCTGTAACCCTTTGACATTCTTGACTGCCATGGTGACCCCAGGGAATCAGGCTGCCGTGGGTGTGGGGCTCTGAAGTCCCGGGCAGCACTCACGGTCTTGGGTTCCAGCTCCGTTCAGGCCCCTGGCATCAAGAGCTGAAGGCAAAGCACAAGAGGGTAGAGGGCAGTGAGTGCATGGACTGCATCAAAGAAGGGAGCAGGACAGGCTTGGGGCGTGGGAGTTGGAAAGATGTTCTTCAGTCGGGCTGATCTCTAACCCAGGCTTTGGGGTGGAACAGAGGGATTGGACAATCCTGGAAGCCTGACATTATACATACTCAGGCCAGCAGTTTTCATCTTCCCCAGCCTGGAAGCACACCTTGCCCTTCATGCCCCCCATCACAGGGTATCTCTTTTCTGTTTCTCCTCTCTTCTTGCCTCTCCTGATCACAGAAACAAGGACATAAAGAGGTAGAAGGGACCTCAGACGCCATCTATCAGACCCATGGGCCCTTTCCTCTCAATAGATAAAGGTATATTTTTGACTCTCCAGATGCCCAATTCTATGAAAGATTTTTTAAGCACTCGGCACACACACACACACACATACACACACACACCAACAACCCACAAAAACCAGACCTGGGCTTATGGCCAAATCCTTTATTAGCGGCCTGGATCACAGTTAATTCTTCCCCTTGGGGGGATGCAGCTCAGAGCAGCAGCCCCTCCCCACTCTCCACTCTCACTCTGGCCCGGGGTTGCCTTTTCTGTGGGCTCTTGCCCGATCTGGGCCCTGCTCTGCCTGGCACTTCCAGGGCCTTCCATGTCACACCTGCCAAAGGGGATGAGAACTGTGGCTGAGGGGTGATTCCAGCACTGATCTTCCCCTTCAGTGTCCCAGACCCTCAGAAAGGAGAGGTGAGACTGAAGAGTGATGGAGCCCAAGGAAGGCTAGGGACATTAGAGAGGGAGGGCTTAGAGGTCAGAGGCTCATAGATTTAGAGTTGGATGAGACCTTAAGAGGGTACTGAATCCACGCTCCTCATTTTTTTTTCCAACAAAAAACAGGCCTAGAGAGGTTAATGAACTTGTCTGGAATTACACAGCTGGTGGTGACTTAGTGTCTGCTCAGGCTTTCCTGACTCCCAGTCTAGAGCCCTACCTACTTTGTCACCCTGGTGTGGTCACCCTGAACTAAGTTGCTGGATTAGGGCTATAAGGAACTAGCTGCAGGCAAATGGCTGTGTAGGTTGGGCCTGTCCTAGATTCAAGAGGCCCTGCTCCAGTTTCCTAGAGCTAGGTGGGCTTGGACCTTTGACCATTGGGAGGTCCTTCCTGGATCCCCAGGAGGCTTGCCCCAGGGCCCCTAACGACTCCATGCCACCCTGCCCTGGGCCATGGGAAGCTTTCTCTCTCACCCTCTAGGATGCATGGGAAGGGGGAGAAGCTGATTTTCCTAGGCAAATCCACGTTGTCCTCCTTCCTTTGGCGGTTGATCTGGTCCTGCCAGATCCTGCACCTCAACCCCAGGCACTTGGCATGGGAAGGATGGAGAAGGGGCCCTTGACCAGGTGTTCCTCCTGCCTCTGGTCCTCTAAGGCTAAGCCTCATTGACCTTCTACCTCTTTTGTGCCAGGCTCCTGACTGCTCAGGGCTTGCCTTTCCCAAGCTGGCATAGGAGGCCAGGGTCTTCCCTAGCCCGACCCCCAAACACACCCTGCTTCCTCAAGGTCTCCTGGTTGCTGCAGGCTCAGCGACCCAGGCCTCCCTCAGTTTCCCTACCTGGAGGTCTGCTGGGTGACTGCTCTCTAGGGGGGAAGACAGCCAGAGTGGGCGTGCCGGCGCCCCCCTGGACAGCTCACCGTCGCCGCCCCAGCCTGGCCGCCTCCGCTGTCGCTGCCGCAGCCGTGCAGACCCCGCAGGCCCCCTTTGTCTGTCCTCCCTGGTCCCGCGCCTTCGCTCCCCACCCCCCCCCGCCCCCCTCTCATCCCCCAGCTTCTCATCGGCTTTAGGCCTTCTCCTGGGGGCCAGCCTGGGCTGGGCTTTGGGAGCAGGGTGGGGTGGGGAGTGGGGGTGGAGACGAGCAAGCTCCCCGGCCCAGGAGGTCAAGGAAGGGGGATGCGGCCCCTTTAAGGGTTGTCAAGCAGAGGGGCGCGGCCTCCTCGGGCAGTTTGGTCTGGCCCGGGGGAAAGAGGGGGGGCAAGGACGTCGGGATTGGGGGCCTCAGGGAGCCCCTGGAGAAGGCTTCCTGCACCTCCGTTCTTGGGGGGGGCGGGGCTCTGCCCCTTTAAATGCGGCGCGAGGGAGCCAGGGTTACATCAGCCGCCACGTGTGGGCCTCCTCAGCTGGAGTGGGAGCGGCGGCCGGCCCCACCTCCGGCACATGCCGTGGAAAAGTACCGGGTCGCTTCTGCTCCGCCCCCCTCAATCCGCTCCTCCCCGCCCCAGCCGGAGAGGGGGAGACAGGAGGGAGGGAGGGGCGGGGAGATAGGAGGGAGGGGCGGGGCTCGGGAGGCTCCCCGCCCTCACCTGTGGCTGCTCCGGGAGGCGCCGGCTCTGACCCTGGCTCTGACCCCGGCCCTGACCCCGGCCCTGACCCTACACCCGGCCGTAGCCCTGGCCCTGGCCCTGACTCTGACTCTGATTCGGCCCTCCAAATGTCTCTCCCTAGTCTCTTGGAGGGCATCGAGCTAGTGACTGCGGCTAGGGCCGAGGAGGGCCCACAGCCCCCCAGGGAAGGGAGAGGTTGATGGAGAGATCCAGGCTGCTAGGACCCGGGAGAGGGAAAGCTGGCTGGGCTGGGCTGGGCTGGGCGAGGGCGATGCAGGGCGCCCGACCAGTGGCTAGGCGAAAGAACCCCGACAGAAACTCGCGCACGCACGCACGCACGCACACACACCGCAGACATACACACACACACACATTCTCGGAGGGGGTGAGAGTCCCCCCCCCCCCTTTGCCAGCTGCCTGCCTGCCCCTTCAGACTCCAGAGATGCCTGAGAGTAAGCCGTAGCCGGCGCTGGCGCGGAAAACTGCAACAGCGGGCTGCTTCCTCCCCTGGCTACCTTGGTGACGGGCACTGCGTGGGGCCACACACACACACACACACACACACACACACACACTCACGCACATTCACGCACGCGCGCACACACTCGCGTACATTCGCATACACTCGCACACAGAGCTACGACGGGCTCTGAGGCGCACAGGTACCCACGGAGACCCACATCCTGGGCATCCAACATCATCCACAGACACGTTGGTTGCAGGCGGGTACGCACACACCCGCACACACGCAGCCGGGGTGGGAGGGCGGCGTTGGCAGGGAGCACTGATGCCCTTACTCACACGACACGTAGAGAACCCGGCACACACAGGGAACCACAGACACTCAGGATACCGAGGCAGGAGCAGCGCATACACACACACACACACACACACACACACACACACACACACACACACACACTCCAGTTTCCCTCGATCCCTTCATTTCCCTTTACCATGGTCCTTGGTCCTTGTCCTTCCTTGCTCGAGCCCCTAGACCCGCGGGCCGCGGACTGTCCAGGTGGATTTCTTAAAGGGAGAGTTGCATCAGCCTGGCCCAGGCGGAGGCTGCTGTGGTGTCCGTCTCCCCGACTGCTGTGCTCCGAGGCTTCTCCCGAGCTTGTTGTGTTTTGTGTGTTGGGTGGGGGGAGCAGGGAGGCGGGGGCCCGGAGTTTGGTGCAAGTTTGGAGAACCAAGACGGCTTCGGGGCCCCAGCCAAGCCCCTCCCCCTCGCAGCTCCCCGGCCCGCCCCCCTAACCCGTCCCCTTTCTCCCCTTCTCCCGCCCTCGACGCTGGTCCGTCTGTCTCCCCCAGGCTCCTCCTCCCGAGGAATAAGGTTACCAGCCTCCACTGCCGCCCTCCGGGGCTTGAGCGTCCAGAAGATTGATCCTTCCCCAAATAACTCAGGGAGTTGGTCCTGGAGGCCGGGGCTTACCACCTCCGACCCAGCAGTCAGAGCTGGGGCGCTGCCTGTCCGCCACCCCCAGAGCGTGGAGAAACCAGCAGCTGGCTCCCTTGGGGCCTTGCAGGTGGGGAGGGGGGCAGCCCTGCTGAGCCCCTCTGTTTTCTCCTTCCCCTCCGACGAAAAGCAACTGGCACTCGTGGGGGCCTCTTTGGTCAACCTAAGGGGCAAGGTAGCCCACTGTTCTCGCACTGGCCTGGGCTGTAGTCTGCCTGGGAGCTGAAGGGAAGGGAGCTATCGTGTGTGAGGAAGGGACCTGCGTTTGAGTTGGGGAGGTCAGACATGACTTTTCTCTGAAGACCAACTGCATTTCTTCTCCCCCAAGGTGCTCCGTGGCAGCTTCAGCTGGCTTGACCAGGAGTGAAGGATGTGTGGTGTTAAGTCCTCCACCCTTCAGAGCTCCTTCATCCTGTCTCAGGACCCCACTGAGTCCAGCATCCTGGCCTTTGTGTCAGACTGATTCAAATCCTCCTTCAGACCCTCCTAGGTGTATGACCCTGGGCCAGCTATTACTCTTCTCTGAGTCTCCTAATTTGAGAACTCAGGCCTTTAGACCTGGACCTGTCTCCTCCCCCAGGGTAGACAGGAAGGTGCTTCCAAACCTTTAAGTTACAGAAATACCAGTTATGTAGTGTTTGCTGAATTTACTCAAGGCTGTGTGGGGAAATGGAGAGACTGAACAGAGAGCCCAGAGCCCTACCTTTTCATCCCAACTTGACCACTCATTTGCTGATTGACTTAGGAAAAGTCCCTCCCCCATTCTGGGTCTGAGTTTACTCATCTTGTAATTGGAAAGTGAAAGGTCTTGGAGTATAGAGGCAGAGACCGGGAAATAAGTTGAGGGGTGTGTATGTGTGTGTGTATGTTGGTGTATCTAGGTAAATTAGGGCTTGGCTTTTGAAAGCATGCAGGGGTGTGTGCCAAGGCAGAGCTCTGGGGCTTGAGCCATGCTCCTCCTCTCTTTCCCTCTTGCTCAGACACAGCTCCTTCTCTTTTTTTCCCCACAAGCGGGCTGGGCAGATCCTCCCTTCCTTTAGCTCCCCCTGGGCATGTGGGGAAGCAGAAGCCACACCTTCCTGGAAGGGCCCATGGGCCACTGCCTTCCACCAGGGGTTGGCCATGGCCCTAGATGGGGTGGTGACCCTATAGTTATTTTCCTTTCTCTCCCCCCAAGTTGCCCACAGGAAACCAAGAGTGGAGAGAGCACCCCCTCCTTTTCCCCAAGGTGTCAGCTTAGGGTGAAGTAGAATTTCACCTCTTCTCACACTTTTAAGAGAGGAAACTGAGGCACAGGACAGGGAAGAGATGTATCCATGCTTCTTGTCCAGCAATAGTAGAGTCTAGCTCAGGGATGGGGAACCTGCAGCCTTGAGGCCACGTGTGGCCCTCTAGGTCCTCAAGTGCAGCCCCTTGACAGAATCCAAACTTCACAAAAACAAATCCTTTTATTAAGGAGATAAGCTAGACTTTAGCCTCTTCCCCAGGGAAACACCACAAGGAAACAGCCTTTATAAGACTCAAAGAAATCTGCCATCAGCCTGGGGGTTGGGGTGACAACAGAGTGTGAGGTTCCCAGACAAATAGCAGCCCAGTAGGAGGGGAGAGGGTTTGCCCCTGGTATTGGGGGAGCCACTGGGGGCTTCTGAGTCTGGGAGTGGGTGGATGGGGAATTAGTTCTAAGGGAGGGTTGCTAGTTGTCTGTGAGGATTTAACACAGCCCAGAGTGCTTAGCAGCAAGTGAGGGTGGGGGAGCACATTAGTGTTGAAGACAAAGGTATTAAGGGGAGAGTGTGAGCCTTGGGGAGTGGAAGGGCTGGAGGGAGGTAGGAGAGAGAACTAGAAGGACCCAAGGAAGGGAGGGAGGGAGGGAGGGCTAGAGTTATCATTCTGGGGTGCTGAGTGCCTAGGCAGATGTTGCTTCTTCCCTTCTGGTCCCTGTGGGGGTCATAGACTGGGTGACTCTTGTCCATGTCTTCCCACTGAGGGGGACCCGGCCTAGGGGGTATGCCCAGGGTCCTGAGCTTTCTTTCAGTCTTGCTCCAGGGCTGAGCCGCCTGTTCACACAAATCCTTAATTATGTCTTACAACCCATTTGGGTTACACCACTGTCATGTGTAATTGAATCCACCAATAAGCACCTCTCTCGTGCCAGGCCCTGTGGTAGCCAGCCCAGAGGGAATATGGAGATATGAAACAGTGCCTGCCCTCAGGCAGCTTATAAGTGAATGGGAAAGGCAGCACCCACACCTATCAGATACAACAAGGCAGTGTAGGGGGAAGTACCAGCAGGAGAGGGAAATCAGGAAAGGCAGGCCTCACACAGCAGAGTAATTGAGTGAGCCTTAAAGTCTGCGGAGAATTCTCTTGAGGCTCAAGGGTGGAGGAACAGAATTCCAGGCATGGGAGACTGTCAGGAGAAAGGCATCAAGCTTTGTGGATGAGGAACAGCAAGCAGACCTGGGGGGGAGGTGGTGGAAATTGGGTCATACGGTCCTTAGTCACCAACTCTCACCTGTGGCTCCAAGCAAGGGCAGCAGCCACACCCCAGCAAAACCGTCTCCTCAAATGGGCTAAACCAGGTGAAGGGTAACTGACAAGCCTCAAACCTGCTGGTGAGTTAGTGGGGTGTCTGCCCCAAGAATGTCAATAAAGGCTTCCCTCAGGGGAATGGGTGGTGGTGAACAATTTGGAACAGGTGCTGTGAACACTTAGAGTTTGGGCAGACAGTGAAGATGCCAAGGTCATCCACTGCCTCCTGAGCCATCACCTGTCATCCTGACTCTTGTCTTGCCACTGGACTTTGATGACTCTGGGAAAGAGAGTGAGGATGAGGAGGACTCTGTGCAACCCTGCCTCACTGAAATCCAGTTCAGCAGCAAGTCAAGTCATCACCCAGTGAGGTCATTGGTCCTCTTCCAAAATGAAGGACAGACAACAATTGCGCATGAAGGAGAGTCATGTTTGAGAAGAATGGAAAGCTAGGGAAGCACTGGGTCAGTCCCTTAGGCAATGAACTAATGTTTACCTACCATGTGCCAGGCTTGTTACTAAGTGCTGGGGATCCAAAGAAAGGCAGAAGACAGTCCTTGCCCTCATGGAACTTACAGTCTAAGAAAGGAGAAAACATGCAGGTAACTATGTACACAAGGGCTATGTGTAGGATAAATTGGAGATAATCAACAAGAGGGAAACCACTAGAATTAAGGAGGATCAGGTTGTTATCGTTGTTTGCCCTTCGTTCTCCTAGAGGACATGACATCAGGAAGGTGATTTAAGTGAGGGAGGGTTGTGCAAAGTCACCAGCCTTACTTTCTCTTCTGGAGCCATCTGGGTCCCATGGCCAGATATAGATCAGAATGACTGGAGATGACCACCAAGGAGGATCAGAAAAGGCTTCCTAGAGAAGGTAGGATTTTATCTGGAACTTGAAGGAAGCCAAGAGGCAGAGATGAAGAGGGAGAGCACTCCAGGCAGGGGGCATAGCCAGTGACCATGCCTGGAGGCAGGAGATGGAGTGTAAAGTGCTAGGAACAATAAGGAGGCCAGTGTCACTGGTAGTGGGTGGAATAAGTTGTAAGAAGGCTGGAAAGGTAGGAAGGGGCCAGCCTAGAGAGGGCTTTAAAAGCCAAACAGAAGATTTTCTATTTGATCCTGGAGGTGAAAGGGAACCATCTGAGGTATTGAATGGTCAGACCTGTGCTTAAGGGAAATCAATTTGAGAGACTGGTAACTTTGGAACAAGAAGTTTTGGGTGAATCATGAGGTCAGAAGTCAGAGAGTAATTGTAGAAAGTGTAAAAAGAGGGAGGGGCAGCTAGGTGGTACAGTGGTTAGAGCACTGGCCCTGGAGTCAGGAGGACCTGAGTTCAAATCCAATCTCAGACCAGACACTTGATACTTACTAGCTGTGTGACCCTGGGCAAGTCACTTAACCCCATTGCCTAGCAAAAAACAAAAACAAAACATAACAAAAAGAAAAAAGAAAAAGAAAGTGTGAAAAGAGGGAGAGGAAAAGAAGAGGAGGCAGTGATGGTAGCCAGCCTTCTCGATGAGGGATGATAGTTAGTGGGGATGGATGGATGAGGTGAGGGCTTCTTGAGGATGGCAGTGATGTAGGTGTACTTGTAGGCATAAGGGAACAGTCAATAGACTGGAAATGACAGGAGGCAATCTGTTGGAGGAGATGAGATGGAATGGGATTGCTTATGCAGGTAGAAGGCTTGCCTTAGTAAGGAGAAGGGCCACCTCTTCATGGGAAATGGGAGTGAAAGAGGAGTTAATGGCATATGAGTTATGTGAAATGAGAAAGATGGAGCTCTTGGGGAAGGACTCTTTTTTAATATGAGGCAAGTTTCTCAGTTGGGGGGTGGGGGAAGGGGGAAACAGCAGAAGTTTGAAGAGGGATGAAAAGGTTGGGAAGAGCCACTGTGGTGAGTGGGATAGTGAATCAATTAGAGTGGTACGAAAGGTTTGCCTTGTAGCAGTGAGGGCCCAGTTGAGGTTGTGTAACATAAATTTGTAATAGATCTGATCAGTATGATTTCATGATTTTCTCTAGCTTCATGCAGTAGTATGTGAGGAGGAGTGGAGGTAATGGGTGTTGGAAGTGATTTAAGACTCTGGCTTGGCTGGACAACATCAGCAATTGGGTGAGAGGACGAGGGCCTCCAGAGCAAAAGATAGGGGAGAGTTGAACTGATTTGCCAAAGGGTCAAGATGGGGAAGGGAGGACGCTGTAGCCAGTGCAGGGGTGATGGCCTG